GGAGGCTGTGGAGTCTCCTTCTCTGGAGATATTCCAGCCCCCCTGGCCGCGGTGCTGTGCAGCCTGCTCTGGGTGACCCTGCTTGGGCAGGGAGTTGGGCTGGGTGACCCCAGAGGGCCCTTCCAGCCCCTGACATTCTGTGATTGGTGTCACCTTTGGTGGCCTTTGCGCTGCTGTTGTCTGTCCCCACAGCACCTGGCCCGGGGACTGTGGTGGCCGTGATGTACCGCCAGAAGGGGCGAAGCCCCACAGACAGTAAAAAGCTCCCAAGAGCCTTTGCATCTCTCTCTCTTCCCCCCAGGATGGCATCTCCGTGAAGACTCTTTCCGAGCAAGGAGTCAGGATCAGCAATAAGAAGCCCCGCAAGGCCGCCGGCGCTGGCAGCATGCTGTACGGCCGCTTCGTGAAGGTAACCGGCCCTGGGGACGTGGCTTGGGGAGCTGCTGACGTCTCTGCGAAGGCTGCTGTGAACTCTGTACCCCTCCTTGCAGTGTGGCCTCCCCACCCCCTCACTGCTGTTGCCCCCAGGGCCCCTCTTTTCCTCGTCCCCCTTTCTCACGGTCCCTCGCCTCTCCTCACTGCAGTCAGCCACGCTCACAGCGTGTGGGGAGGAGTCCACGAAGCTGCCCGCCGGCTCCGAGAGCAGTGAGGAGGAAGAGGAGAAGCTGGACCTCTCTTCGGCCAGGAGGCGAGGCTGGGGCAGCGGTGCATTCCCCATCCCCATGATGCGGCAGCGGGGAGGGACGAGGGCTGCGAGGGAGAGCCCCGCTCCGGACCCGCGCTCCCCCCCGTGCCGATTCTGGGGGTGACATGTCCCATCTGTGTCCCACAGGCTGACGGATGAGGAGCTGATGCGAGTGTGCGGAGGCCGCACAGCACACAAGTAAGTGGTCGGTGGGGGCTGCAGAGTTGGGTCCCCCTCCTGGCAGGGGCTTTTGAGGCGGCTGGGCTGGGGGGGCACGTTCCCTGCCAGGGCAGTGCTGGACCCCGGCTGCCCACGATCGTTGTAGGGGTGCCCGGCATGGCCTGACCATGAGCGCCAAGCTGGCGCGCTTGGAGGAGCAGGAGCGAGCCTTCCTGGCCACGTACCGACCCAAGGAGCCGCAGCACGAGCCCCCAGCGAGCAGCCCCCCGGCAGGGAAGCGGGAGAAAAGGAAGAAAAGGAAACAGTCCAGGGACGGAGCCGCCCCCGAGGTGCTGCAGGGCCAGGAGCCAAGCGGAGAAGAGGAGGTGGCGGGAGAGGAAGGGAAGGTCGTGAAAAGGAAGAAGAAGCAGGAGCCAAGTGGAGAAGAAGAGGGGCAGGTCACGAAGAGGAAGAATAATAAGAACCAGGAGCCAAGTGAAGAAGAGGTGGCAGGAGAGGAAGGGAAGATCACAAAGAGGAAGAAGAAGAAGAAGCGGGAGCCAAGCGGAGAAGAGGAGGGGCAGGTCGTGAAGAGGAAGAATAATAAGAACCACGAGCCAAGTGAAGAAGAGGTGGCAGGGGAGGCAGGGAAGGCTACAAAGAGGAAGAAGAAGCAGCAGCAGGAGGAGGAAGAGGACAGAGAAGAGCCAGTTGAGACGAAGAAGGAGAAGAAGAAGAAGAAGAAGGATGAGGACAAAGAAGGGCCAGTTAAGACGAAGAAGGAGAAGAAGAAGAAGAAGAAGAAGGATGAGGACAAAGAAGAGCCGGCTGAGACAGAGGTACCTCTAGAAGATGCAGATGGGCCAGAGCGGGCTGGGCACAGCCCCAGGAAGAAGAGGAAGAGGAGGAGGAAGGAGCCAGAGTGAGCAAGGACTGAGGCAGCCACGCCGTGCAGCTGCCGGTATCATCTGGCTGTGAGTGGGTGCCCGACGGGTGCCTGCGCCTTCGCTGCCTGGGGACGCCGGGCTGGGACTGGTCGGTCTGGAGCTGGATCCAGCCTTGCTCCAGTCCCCGACCCTTCCTTCCGTCGGGGGTGACCCCAGTTCCCCCCAGGCCTGGGGGCAGGCACCCGCTTACCGTGGGTCTGTGGCAGAGGGACACAAGGGGACAGACCCCCTCTCCCACCCCACCCCCCGAAGCATTGAAATACTTTTTTTCAAGGGCACAAATAAATTTTTATTGCAGAGAAATTATCCCGAAGTGCAAGATCTGGGGCAGATCCTGGATCGCGTCAGATTAGGTGTCAACCCCCAAACGCAGCCGCCCCGTCGGTCCCAAG